ATATATATATATATATATATATGACTGATTAAAAAAAATACTTAACTTGATCAAAAACAAAAACAAAGCAAAATAAAAATCAACCGTCTACCAGAATACAAGAAGAAGCAGTGAAACACTGGAAGCTTTCCCATTAAAATTGGAACCAGGAAGATTTTGGTTGGAGGATATATTCAAAATTATAGTTACTAGAATCCTGTCCATTGCAGTTAAGGTAAGAAAAAAAAATGGCAACATACATATTGGGCAGTATGGGGCAAAACTCCATTTAAAGAGTATATGATTGTCTATCTAGAAAATCTAAGAAATCAACTAAAAAACCCTTGGACTTTAAGAAGAGTTCTGTAAGCTGGTATAAAGTCAAATAGATAAATCCATATTTTCCTATACCATACTTTCCTATATACCAGAATGGACAATTAGAAAGTACAATTTAAAAAGATCCATCCCATTCTCAATAGCAACTTAAACCATATGTAAGGATAAACACTACAAATGTACAAAAATTACAATAATAGGCCTATACAACTATAATGAAGGACCTGTTAGAAAAACTGAATACGTGGAAGCCTCATTGGAAAGTTAGAACTGGAATTCTCTCCAAAATTAATATAAAAGTGTAGTGTAATCAAAATAAAAACACCTAACACACTCCTTTATGGACCCTAACAAAGTAATTTTAAAATTCACCTGGAAGAGAAATGCTCAAGAACACCTGGGGATTCTGGAAAATGTACAGGGTTTACTTATGGATCCAGATTAACTTTAAAAAAGCTCCGTACCTGGACTTATGAATTGCTGCTTAGCACTATGTTCTCTTTACTCTAGGGAACACTGTAAGAAAGTCATAAGAAATCTGATTTTATATTTATCACAGGATTGTTACTATGAATATTATTTTTAACATTATCTCTATGAAAATCCATTATATTATCTTCAGAGAATTTTGTCAGGAAAACTTTACTCATCTGGGGAATTGTTTTGCTTTCTCTCACAGACAGTATCAATACTTTAACTGGCTTGCTATCCAATTTCTATAACTGCCAGAAAGTGTGTACACATATGCAGCTCAAATTTGAAGGGCCCCCACCAGTAAGATGGCAAACTTCCGGCTTCTCTTGGGGTGGGGGGGGTCCTCGGTTCCCACCGGCGCCACCTGAAGCCCAATCACCTCTCGCCCCCCCTCCCAATCCCAGCACCTAGCCAACAGCCAACAGCCCCGTAGAAGTGACACCTCAATCAATTCATGCCCCTTCCTATATAACCCAGCACCTTTCCCTAATAAAGNGGTGACGAAGGGAAGGGAGCGAAGCGCAAGATACCAGCACAGAGGGAGCCCCAGCCTGCCCCGGGCCACCTACAATAAAATGTGTAATTCTCTCTCCTTCAAATGTGTAAGCTCATAACCAATCCTGTCCGTCTAGTAACGAATTAAAGTATAAATTGTTAAATACTTACATGCAAATAACAAGTGCCATAGGCACGAAAAGCAGGGCTGAGGCCAGAATCCCTCGCGGCAGCCACTCCTTCTGCAGACGTAATGCGGGCAAAGGACAAATGAGGTTTCCCTCCCTCATTTCCCCAATATCATCAGTCCCTGGAAACTGGGAAATGTACCATCCTCAAGGAGTGTAGATTATTAAATCATGTAACAGTTTATTCTGGGGCTCTCTGTCCCCTGGTTTGTCAAGTAGCAGTTCTTTACAACCTCCCGACCTCCTGCCCACAGAGGATCGCCCACTTCTGGCCCCTCTCATAGGGTCCTTGCTGTTGCCAGGAGACTGGGATCTCTGAGCCTGGCTCCACTGCAGGGCCAAGGCCTGTTTTCGCAGGCTTTCACACGTGTGCTGTGCAGGGGCCCTAGCTGGGTAGTAGTAGGGGGTTCAATCAGCCAGTGGAAGATTCACATTGGGTTTTTATTTTTTCTTTTAAAAAATCTAAGCTCTTGAATAGCTAGCTGGCAGGGAGGTGTTGGAGGGATAGGGTAAAGGCAGTAATTGCCCAAGATGGCCCAGAGCAGGCCTTTCAGAAAACATCCAGTCACTTGCACTGCCCTGGACTCTCCTGACCCCACTGAGGGTCAGGTGCATGCTGCTCGGCTCCCTCCAGCTCAGCCCAGCTGCCAACCTACCCACTTCCTGCCTTATCCAATACAGGTCCCCAGCTTCATGATTCCAAGTGATAATACAGTGTAATGTGCAAAAGACGCAAAGGTTCCTCAACTCTTTCTGCAAAGAACGTCATTAATACATTACTTTTAGTTAAGTCAGTAATTTAATTAGTAAAAGAATCTCTGAGTGAACAAGCTTTGATAATCTACCTAAATGGCCACCAATAAATGCTGGTGGTTTAGTAATGATGACAGGGAAAGTGGTGCCAACCATGGGACCACAGCCAGAGCTCCCAGCGTCACAGTGCTAGGGAGAAACAGCCCAGCATGTTTGCTGGTGAGGTGGTGTTCCAAGCAAAGCGAGCAGCCTGTCGTTCCTCATGTGGTTTATTAGTTTGCTGATGCTGGGCAAGAGACCCCTGCTCCCTTGGTGCCTGACCAAGTACCTCCCAAGCTTCTTACTGAGAGTGACAAGTGTTTTTCTCTGTGTGGTGACTTCAGTGAGCCAATAAATATTTAGTGTGCTTCAAGCAGAAGACTAAATATTAGTGATAAGAGGAAGCAGCAACTAACATTTACTACTTGCTTACTTGGTGCCAAGCCCCAGGTTAGGCATTTTAGTTTCACTTAGCCCAACAATCCATGGAAGCATATTCTGTTATCCTCATTTGACAGATGAGGAAAGAGGACTTAAAGAATGTAGGTAACCTGCTCAGGGGTCCTAGGTCACCATCCAAAACTGCGAGTTAAGGCTTAAACTCAGGACTGTTACGACTCCAAAGCCTGCTAACCATTGCACTGCCCTGTTGGAGGGCATAGGGATTCAGAGAAGTATAAGCCATGGTCGTCATCAAAGAATCAAAACAATATGAATAATATTGGTGATGAGCATGACGGCAGCTACCGCTGACTGTGCCCCTTCTGTGGGCCAGGTATCATCCCAGGCACTTTAGTTACACTGTTAGGACACAAGGGCAGAAACTCCCCAGACTGGCTCAGACTCTGTATGAGTACAGCTTTGATCCTAAGGTGGACACAAAGATACGGAGCTTAAAAAAAAAGAAGAATAAAGAGTCTGGTACTGCTGGGCTTCCCAACGTGTGGGCGGGATTGCTGGCAGTTCCAGGTTCCTATTCTGGGAGAGTTGCCTTATTTCATAGTGGGTGCATAAAGTGAGGATTAGATAATATCTTTTTTATATAACACTACCTCAAATTTGCACAATTCTTATTAGCAAATAAGAAATACAAAGCAAGAACTACTGATGTTTTAGGCAGAGAAGAGACATGATCCAGCTTGAGTTGTAGGAGGAGTAATTCGAGGGTGGCCTAGAAGTAGAGAGGCCACTTGGGGGGTTAGATAAGTAGGAACTAGGAGAAAATGGGGCACCAGATAGGAAGTTTTGATGCAGGTGAGGAACTTGGGACAGTGGATCTACTTGAGTGAGAACTGGAAGGACAAGAGCTTATGTTCAGAGAGTGAAAGATTGGACTTTGTTTATCTTTATGGTAAATTGTAGATGATGATAAGGTTCATGCATCACCTAGGAATGGGGATCAGTGAAGTGTCAGGAATCTTGGAGCTGAAGCCAGTTGGATAGTCTTGGAGACGTAGTCCCTTTCCCCTTTCAGGAGCTCAGCAGAGACCAACCAGCTCAATGGAAAAACAGCCTCCACCTTTCTAATGAGATCGCTTCTTTCATCCTGCAGTTTCCACTGTTAATGGTGTAGATGTTCCCGCCTTGCCATCCTATAAACGTGATACATTCCAGGCAGGCTCCCTCCCTACAGGGCCCCTAGCCAATGGGCACCTGGGCCAGCCAAGTCTGGCCTAATCCCCTGTTACCATTCTCTTTGTAAGTTTCCCCAAGAAACAATAAAACCATACTTTATATTTGCACATTGTGACTACTGTTCTCTTTACATAATAGGAGGTCAAGGAACATTGTGCCCAGGAAAGTCTATGGGTTGTTGGCATGGCAAATATTATGGTAGAGAAGAGCTAGAGCTTAGAGCCAAAGTCCCCAACCACCCGTGGGCATCATTCATTACTACAGCCGCTCAGGGAGTCTCACGTCTATCCAGCTCAACCCCTGCATCAGACAGAGTATTGATTATCTGGTGATGTGCAACAGATTACAGCAAAATAGTGGCTTAAAGTAACAATAAACATTTATTCCTCACAATTTCTGTGAGTCAGGAATTCAGGAATCATTTGGGTAGTTGTGGCTCTGGGTCTTTCATGAGGGTCTCAAGATGTCTGCCAGGGCTGCAGATCTGAAGGCTTGACAGGCTGGAGGTCCACTTCCAAGCTGTGCTGCTCACTTACACGGCTCCCACGGTGGTGCCGGATGCTGGAGCGAGCCTCAGTCCTCCTCATACAGGTCTGTCCCCGTGCTCCGTGATTGAATGTCCTCACAGCATGATGGCTGGCCTCCAGAGTGAGCAATCCAGAGAGGGAGACAGATGGAAATTACGCTTTTTATGACCTAGCCTCAGAAAGCACAAAGCATCACTTCTGTCACATAACATGAATGGTTAGAAGTCAGTCACTAAATCCAGCTCACATTCAAACCTTTGGCAGAAAGAAGAGTCAAAGAATTTGGAGACATTTTACAGTTACCATAGACAGGAAAACAGAAACTACTGTAGATATTTGAAACAAACAAACAAAAAGCTTGTATACAAACAATTGGTTCTTTTCATTGGAGGGGCTAGTGGTGGTGAAAGCTGAGGGTGGGGGGACTACATCCCACTAGCTTTCAGTTTACTTTGCTGTAGCTGCTTTCCACAGACTCACAGTTGCTGCTGCCACTCAGAACCCAGGAAACTTCTGGAAACTACTGCTGAGGTCATTGCTGCCTGGTGACTGGTGGGGGGCATTGAAGCCAACATGCAGCTTGTACATCTGTTGCCGCAGAGGAAGAAAGAATGGCTTCCACCTCCTTTCTACCCTTCAGATTTCACACAAGTACATTTTATTGGTGGAACTCTGCTGTCAAAGGAATCTGTGAAATGTTCCTGGGCTTCCAGCACCTGCAGAGAAGGGGGTAGAGATTGGTGTCAAGAGCCAACTAGTGCCACTCAGCATCCTCCACATTACAGACATGGTGAGAAGGCCCCGCCTGTACTTGGAGGTATCCTACTTTTTTTGTAGTCTTATGGGCGCTCAAGTCTCTGTAAAAGAGCTAGCTAAGCCAGAAACCTGGAAAGGTGTCCTTCTAGCTGGAAAGCAGACTGGGTGCTGGATGCTGGTGACATGCACTCATCCCCAGAGGTGACTGGAGGAACACTTGGAACTTCTAAAAAATAAAATTTTTTCAGGAGTTATCCTGAAAAATAATAGTAAGTAATTAATTAAATAAAACAAATAAAAGGCTGATTCCGGATACCTCCCCTTGTCAAAAATGAACAAACCAGAGGCTACTTAAAGCAGTAAAGACAAATTTCAATCAGTAATATACTGCTGCAATAGTGCAGCGGAAAGAGTCCATCATGCACTAAACTCAAGTGGGATTTCTAAAGAGGTGATCAGACATTTTAAAGGGAGAAAGAGAGCACAGGGAGCAGATATCGGGGGCTCTGTGAAAGAGTACAAAAAGCAGGAATGGAGGGGTTGGTCCACATGAATCCCAACTGGATTTGCTGACTGGGCTTTCCAAAGTCAGCTCCCACTGACTCTCACAAGCTGGGAAGCAGGGCCCTTCTCTGGTGTTGGCTGGAACAAATAGCAAATTCTTTAGGCATCCTTGAGGTTTCTCAGGCAGGAACTTTAAGGGGGACCGGGGTCATCTAGGGACTTAGCCTTGAGCTGTTAGAAACTGTTAGTGTTTGTCCAAGTCTGCATTGGCCAGGGTTGAACTGAGAAAAGGGGGCAGAGCAGCCAGGCTAGAGTCTGTTCAAGGAGAGGAGGTCACCCTCCAAACCCACAGGCCCGCACCTCCTGAGTTAATCTCTGAAGGAGAGGGAGCCGTTTAACAAGGTCTTTATTCTCACTAAACTTGTGAAGGATGGCTGGGAGGGCAAGGAGGCTTGGAAAGAAGATGTTCTTTGGCCTCTTCAGGGCTGGAGGTCAGCAGGACTGGAGGGTAGGAGAGGCAAGGAAGGGCAGGTGACTGGGGGGCATACCTGGATTCCTAACCTTGGACATATGTACTGCTGGAGGCCACCACTTCCACGGTGATCAGGGCTTCTCACTCCCAGGGAGCCGTGGGTGCAACAAACTTTGGCTCCCAAGGTCCTGGTGGGAGAGATGGTGAGCCTGGGAGGCTGGCACTGGGGCACCAACTCGGTGGATGTGGGGGCAGCATACTCACTCACCCATGCAGAAGGGAAGTCCTGAGCCTAAAGCAAAGCGGGAATAATGGTTTAAGGCAAGGAGCCTCTGTGTTAGAGGGAAACATTGAGATGAGCATTTGGTGCCACACTGTGGAGTGTTTTGACTTGCAGGGTGGAAGGAAATTAAGATTTCAATGCTGTGAACAGTATAAAGGCTTCGTAGGATGAGGGCCACCCCGCAAGGATGGTGGAGCAGAAATAGGCTCCCTGACACATGAACCACCAAACTAGCAATGAACTACAGTACTTCACCAAATCATTGCATGAGAAATCAGTAAACGTTCTCATTTAACCCACTGCTGTGTTGAATCTCTGCTGCAGCAGCTGAACCTATCACCTGATAAAGGAGTGAATACATGTATTAGTTAGCTATTGCCATAATAATGTTTTATAAGAAACCATCCCAACTGCAGTGGGTTGGAATAACAATTCTCACCAGTCTGCAGGCTGCCTGGCACAGCAAAGCTCTAACTCTGTGCTGGCCAGGCTGGCTCTGCTTCTCACTGTTGTTCCGCAGATCAGCCAGGGCAGCTCTTTGCCACGTGTCTTTATTCTGGGACCCAGGCCAGAAGGGCAGCATGTACCCAAGAAAAGCTTAAGGAGGCAACCAGAAACCCATCAGGCCTCTTCAAGCCTAGGCACAGAGCTGGCACACTGTCATCTCTGCCCATTCCATAGGTCAAAGCAGTTCACATGGCCAAACACCGTGCCAGGGGATAGGAAGCAAGGGAGATCCAGCAAGGGTGTGGGTGCAGGGAGGGGTGGGGATCAGGGCCAGTAATTCTACCTGTCCCAGGATGTGACTGAGTCCTGCTTTGGAGGCCCCACACCCCAGCTCCACTCTAGCTGTAACCTATAAATGGAGCATCATGAACTGTAGTGTCTATCCATGATGTGAAGACTCCCCACATTTCTCTGTTAGGTCTGGAGCCCTGACAAGGCAAGAATCCATCTCCTTTATCTCCCAAGTGCCTAGTTCCAGGCCCTGCCCTCAATAATGACTTACATTTCCCAGTGAATTTTAAGCCATTTCTTCATTCAGCCCATATGATTCCTTATGAAATACAGACTGACCCCCTGTCAACCCATAGTGCTATATATTTGCCCCATAAGCTGCAAAAGGACTGTAGCATTTGGCACTGGGATTTGTATGCAGATCCAATACCAAATATTGTATCCAGTGCCACCCCTAGGAACCTCCAAAGGAAAGGCCTTACAAGGTAAACATCAAAACAGGTTAGTGGAATTTTTTTCTCTAGAGGCCATTTGAATCTGTGAAGATTCTGATCCCCTGAAATATCCTAAGAGGAAGACTGCTGGAGGCACTGCCCTAGTCAGGGTCCCCATCACAGCCCCCACGGCTCCTCAGTCTCTTGGCCCTTCTCATCAGGACAAAAGCAAAATGGGCCCCATGTGCTCCCCCTTAATTGCTGCCTTTCCCAGCCAACGATGCCCGCTGAGGGAGAACCGCCTGCTGGGAGCCGTGGGAATCTGAAAGAGCGCTGCTCTCATCACCACCGCATTCCAGGCGGGGGCATGTGGGTGGGAGATGGATCTCAGGGCAGCGACTCAGGGTCAGTCACTACCTTTATCTGGTCACGGTGGTGGTTTTCTGCGGAGACGATGGGGAGGCTGCAGTGCTACTGAGGAAGGCGCCGCCCCAAATCACTCACCAAAGACGTTTCTTGATGCAACAAGCAAGAGGAATTTATTCGGAAGCCAACTAGTTGGGGTCCAAGTCAGCCCGTTGCAGCAGGTCTCAACGAGGACCCTGAGTACTTACAACTAAGTGGTTATATAGGATTTTCTGAGGCATTCAGCCCTAGAGAATTACCATGGTTACAGATTATGTTGTAGTAACAAGATAACAATACTACATAGCAAGATAACAATACTACAAAGGCAGTAATTTTTCAAACCTACGATTTCTGGGTTAGTGCCACGTCCTGGGGGTGTAGCAAGGTAGGGTCAGCTTTTATGCTTAACTAACCGAAAGGTTAGCGCTGCCAGCAGTCATGATTGATTAACTTGTTTTTCCAGAGGAGTTACCTGGTTTCAGTTGTTCCCTCTGAGTCATATATCAGAATGGCTTTTTGGGCTTCAAGATGGCTACTCTTAGGCTAACTTATTTCTCAGGGAGGTTGGGGTCCTACACTACGTTCCCTTATTTACCTTTGAATTTTATAAATTTAAAAAAACAAATCGGGAATTAGGAGTCCCTAGATAAGGTCACTTACCAGGACAGTGACTTCTCTGGAGCTGACTTTGCAATCTGCCTCAAACAAAATAAGTTAATAGATATTATGATTTCACATTTAATTTTTTTCACAGCTTAAAGGTCTGACTCTTGCCACCATCTCTCTGCCTGAACTCACAAGCAACAGAGTGAAGTAATGAGTAGCAAGGTGATATTAAAGGGACAACTCAATCGACTACAGTCCTGGTTGGTAGCATTTTTCTTTCTGAGCAATGTGTGATGATTGAGATTTTATTCTGCATGAATAAACATACCCACAGTACCCATTGGGGAGGTTATTTCTGCTTCTGTAACCGAAATAAGTGTTCTGCGAAATGCACCACTTCAAATGCCTTGCCTCCTGAGCAAGTTTGAGAATGGGGAGTACAGAGATAACAGGCGATGGGGATCCTGCTTGTAACCTGTGTCCAGGCTGGTTAAGGTGGGAATATGGGTAGAGGATGCTATGCAACACCCAGTCAGGCTTTTAGAGAAAGAATAAGTACAGACCGGAAGGGGATGGGAGAATGTACATTGTTCTGTTCAAAAGGCAACCCCCAGAGCAGTGATTTCCAAGCTGTGGCCACAGGTCCTTGTGATGCCTGGGTTCCTGTTTGTGGAGTGGAAGAATGAACTTAGCAAACACCCAAGGTAGGAGAGCCAGGAAGAGGCTTTTACTGAGAGATACAGTGAGAGGACAGAGCTCCTGGCTTGTGCCAGGAGGGGACAAGAGAGCCTGTAGTGGTGCTCTAGGGGTTTTATAAGCAGTTGAGGATTTTAGGGAATGTGAAAAAAGGCTTAGGAGTGTGGACTTGTTAGGTGGGCCCTGAATATTTAGAATTAACTTAACATAAGGAATTTCCTCCTTTGATTTCTCCCTGGGATACTGGCATCTTGGTCAGGGAGCGTATCAAACAAGGCCACCTGCTCAGCCTCCAAAGTGGGCTGAGTTATTATCTGTTTGTTAAAGAGTAAGTTAAGAATCTTACTTCTTAAACTTTCTGGGTGTTAAAATGCAATCTTATCTTAAGATGGAATCCTTCTTGCCTTTTACTATGTTGTTTACAGCTGGGTCTGCATGCTGAATTAGTTGCCGGGTTTGCATATCACTTCATCAGATCTGATGGAGGAAAGACAGCACGTAGGCCTGGGCCTTTTAGTATGCTAAAGTAAATCTTACCCATGATTTAAAATGATTAGCAAAATTAAAAACACATGCTACTCTTCTTTATCTGGGGAATATTCACTGATTGCACTGAAGAAAGATTCTAGGGCTTAATATTTAACAGAGTTTTGGTAGGGGGGTTTCCTTGTATGTAGTTACAGTGCTCTGACTGTAAATATCCTGCCTTGCTTTTTCTAGAGGCCCTCACCCTACTCTGCCTACATCCATGGTCCCTGTCTCACTTAGGCCAGTTAGAGCAGGGGCCTCTCAATCATGTGCACACTAAGCACTGTTGAGAGAGCAAGCAAATCCTGTGTCTCCCACAAGTGAAATTGCTATATCACTAACAGTGATCATGTATTGAGTGTACATGCATGTTGTCTCACTGAAATCTTACACCTACCCGTGAGGTAGATCTTCTTCTCTCCAATTAATCAGGAAACTGAGATTTGGGGTGCAGGTGAGTGGGCAAATAACTTGCCCAAGTTCACAAATATATTCATCACTGTTCTTCATGTTCCAAGAGAAATCAAACTAAAATATGCTTAAACCAAAAATGGCATACAGTATGTATATTGGCTGTAAGTCTGGGGAGAGGAAACCCTGGGGCAAAATACCTCTAAAAACCGAAATCAGTCAAAGGGAGAAACAAAGTTTAAAATCCGTTTATTACTCACAAACTGCAATCTGGGGGAGTTTCTCTCTTTGCTGTTCCAGCAGAAGCCAAAAACCGACCCTCCCCCTCACCTCTCAGGTACAGATAAGTGGCCCAGGTAATTATCCATTGATATGGAGATGAACGCTCCACCCCTGAGGAATGACGCAAATGCACTAAAGCTGTATTTCTTTCCACTACTGAATGCCTATTGATATGCAGATGTACTAAAGCCAGGGGAGATATTCTGGAAATGTTTCCGTTTTACCCACATTGGCTCTTACAGCAGGGAGGCCAAGGGGCTTAAAGTTGGCTGCATCCAGGGCTCAAACAACGACCTCCTCTCCCCATCCATCTCTCAACTCTGCTTTCCTCTGTGATGCCTTCTGCCTCAGGGGTGCCCCACGATGGCAAAGGTGGTCCCTGATAACTGCAGCTCTGCACCGCAGCGGAACTAACCTCTCAGAGGAAAGCCCATCCTCTAAAAGCCTCTAACTGGCCTGCTTGGACCATGCGTGAGGGAGGAGAACCCGATTGGCCAGGCATGGTCATGTGCACATACTGGGTGGGGCCTTAAACCCGCGCTTCAGACCGACTGGATCGCAGGGAGTAGCGGGAGCTCAGTGAAACGTCAAGAGAAAGGATCTCTCACCAGAAGACCAGAGGGTGAGGAAGGTGCCGGGAGGGATCAAAGAGTGAATGAAATGAGATTGATCTAGCCTTTAAGCCTAAGGTCTTCACAGGCTTTCACATGTCAGTGGATGCTATCCTGGTAAATAAAATTAATTGATTGAAAAGCCTTCCTGGTAATTTTTGGTCCTTATGTATTTTTTTCCAATTAATGCGTACTAAAGGTATAAGTACTATCCTGAGGTGGTCCCAAAACTTTCACGTTAAATAGGGATCCTTAACTTGAAGTTGTGCTCCAGCAAAGAGAGAGTAAAAGAAGCAAGAGAGGGGAGCCAGGAGGGGAGCTCCGGGATGACAGCTCTGTGACAGGTGGAGGAGGTGACCCGACACACTGGAGGACAGCCCAGGAGGGGCTCTGAGGGAACTGGGCACCAGCTGCTGCCGCAGAGCACTGGAGGGGAGCTGGGGGGTGGTAATGGCAGGCAGCACAGAAAGGCCGGAGAGGAAATNTAGCTGGGCTGGGACTTCGCGGCGGGGCGCTGGCAGGCCGGCTGTCTCAGAAAGCTGGGTCGAGCGGGAGCGTGGGGAGTCTTTTGTTGGTCCTGCGGCTTCGGCGCATCTGGGGTCCGCGCTACTCTTCTTATTGCCCCACGAACTAAAAAAGGGAGGGTGGAAGGGCAGGCTGGCAGGGCCCAGGCTTTCTCACACTCTTTCTTTCTCAGGGAAAACCAGCCATGAGAACTCCTCTCCGAGAACTTACCGTTCAAGCCAGTGCCCTCACCAACTCTGGAAAAGGGTCCCCGATGTGCCACTCGCGGGCCTCATCGCTGTGCAAGCCCGGGCTGCAGGTGAGATTCGCCTGGCCAGTTTCTCGACTGGGTCTTTGCGGAGGCTGAGAGCTCAGAGGAACAGAGGGCCGGGGCTGGGACGTAATTAATAACGATAATGAAGTCTTCCACGTTAGTGACATACATTTACAGTTATCCAGGCCAACAGAGAGGTGCCCTAGGATGGTTAAAGACAATTCACTGAGAACCCGGACCACATCCATGGTCCCTGTCTCAATGGGATATAAATAAAATAGGTTAGAGGAGGAAAGAAGAATGTGTAAAAACAGATGACAGCCCGAGTAATAGGTGTTTGAAGGTAGCAGTCTTTCTTGAAAGAGCTCAAACACTTACTATCCCATAGAATTTTCTGGAATGATGGAAATGTTTGATCATCTGTGCTGTCCAATATAGTAGCTATTAGTTACCTGGCTATTGAGCACTTCAAAGGTGGCTAATGTGACTGAGGAACTAAATTTTTCACTTCATTTAATTTTAACTTTAACCACATATGCTATCATATTAGACAGTATAGCTTAGGTAAAAAATAAATAAGTACTAAGTTGGAACTGATCTTCATAGAGCTATAGAGTTTAACCAGAGCCATTTAATCACAGTAGCAGAATATATTGGAATTTAGGTCTCCCTTCTGCTGCCCCCTGATATAGTCAGCCACATACACAAAAAGAGTTTCCCCCAACAAAATTATAATTTTTGCTTTTTATAATTTTGATTATCTAATAGATGTTAATTGTTTGAAACATTTGAACTATATATAAATATAAGAAATATGTTTCTGCCATCTTAGGTAACTATAATAACTCGTTTGAAAATCTTGCATTTCTTCTACACCAGTTGACATGGAGGGATTTGCACCACATTGTTAAATGAGAAAAATAACTTGCATGTAGAACTAATTCGTAAGATACTATGGTATGCATGAATTATAATTTATTCACAAATGGCTTTTGGGGTTTTTTTTTCTTTGCTTCTATAAGCAACGCTAACAAGTATCTTTGTACGTGTATTAGGTACTGACACTTTTGTTTCCATGAGATAAATTTTTAGAAGTAGGATTGTTGGGTTGAACGAAAGATAATTTTAATAAATTTTGCCAGATTGCTATCTAAAATAGCTCTTACATATTTTCCCTAGCATTATATGAGAGGCATTTTAACATGATTTTTTTTAAGTTGTGATAAAAAACACATCACATAAAATCTACCATCTTACCCATTTTTAAATGCACAGTTCAGTAGTATTAAGTATGTTCACCTTGCTGTGCAGCCTTCTCCAGAACCCTTTACATCTTTCCAAACTGAAACTGTACTCATTAAACATCAACTTCCCGTTCTCTTTTCCCTCAGTCCCTGGCAACCACCTTTGTACTTTCTGATTCTATAAATTTGACTATTCTAGGTAGTTCATATAAGTGGCATTATACAGTATTTGTTCTCTTGTAACAAGGTTTGAGGGAGGTACATTCATATTTTCCTTTTCTAGTTCATTGAATGTCAGGACCAGTGACAAGTGAAAAAAGATGCAGTGGCCTTTGTCCCTGTGAACCCGCGTGTCAGGAGGTTGTCAGTCCCTTATCAGGGCATCAGAGAAAGCTCTCTGCTCTCAGACTTCTCTGCTACAAAGGCTACAGCTCTTCATATCCCAAGGGTGGAATGGACTCATCCTGTGCGTTCAGGATGCCCTCAGCTCTGGGGCCCTGGGAGACTAGATCACTGGTGCAGGCTGATGTTGCCCTTTCTTACTAGTGTCTTTGGAGCTCTGTGGGCCAAGGGCTCTTTAACTCTCGTCTCCAATTTCTCATCTGTTCCAGAAGGGAGAAAATCTTGTACCAACTCTAGATTCTGATAGAGCTTGAACCTAGGGAGTCTTCCTACCCATTCCCCTGTAAGTGGGCTGGAGTTAGGATTGGAGAGGAGTGAGGTCACATTCAAGCTGCCATCTCCCTGTGATATGGGTAGATACTACCACCTCATTTATACTATAGGCTTGTTCACTTAGAAGGACCCTTTCCCTGCTATTGGGTTTCTTTAGTGAGCAGCAAGGCTTAGCCAAGTTCTTACCTAAGCAGAGGTAACGAAAACTCTTTGCTTTTTTGAGTTCAGAGTGTCCTGCACCCATAATTGTATGTTGGGAATCTGAAGCATCTGCCTCAGTCAACTATTTTTGTTTCCTTTGACAGGAAGGCAGCGACTACTCACCTCCGCTGGATCTTGGCAGTGCTAAGAGGGTAGCCTCCCCTTCAGAACAATTTAGCCCTCCCTCAAAATGGCTAGAAGCTTGTCAGCATGATTCAGGGAAGCAGCCCCTAGATATGAATCCCCAAACCAACTCTACTCCCAAAACATCTGAGGAAGCAGTAGATTCTCTGGATGGCAGTGTGGTTAAAACCATGACTTTTGTGCCCTCTCCAGTGGGGCAGCAGCAAGATGTTCTACTTGAGGCCCATTTAGATACCATGTCAGAGACAAGAAGCATCTCTCTAGATGAGCCTCTGAGGCCAGATCTGCTGGCAAAGGGGATGGCATCCTGCGTGGAAGAGAGCTTTTTGGAAGTTGTTCCTGTGAAGCCCGAGAAATCTACTCTTCAGGATCCTCCATCTCATCTCTCGGAGTGTCCCCCAAATCCCTGTTCTGAGCAACATGTCCACCAATCCAGGGAAAGCCTGAGGGGCAGTGGGACCGAGGTTGTGCCTGAGGACTTAGTCCCTTCTGAAAGTAATGCCTCCCTACCTTCCTCCATGCTCAGGCTTTCCCCTTCAATTACCTTTGCAGCAGATTTCACTGTAAGTCATGTGGACCCAGGGGAGGAGATTAAAGAATACAGAGCTGTAGAGGAAAGAGAAACGAACTTTCCCACAATCCGTGAGGAGGCTGAATTGGGAAATCAAGCACTTGTCCCAGACATAGAAGATAGTCCATCTACATGCCTGATCCCAAATCCAGGAGAAATGGAATCCCAGGCAACTGAAGACCCAGCAGTAGAAGATGCTGATAGGATTCCTGGCTCTGATACAGGGCCTTGGATGTCCCCATTAGCTTGGCTGGAAAAAGGTGTAAATACCTCAGTCATGCTAGAAAATCTCCGCCAGAGCTTATCCCTTCCCTCTGTGCTTCGGGATACTGCAATCGGCACTACCCCTTTCTCTACTTGCTCAGTGGGGACTTGGTTTACTCCCCCAGCACCACAGGAAAAGAGTACAAACACATCCCAAACAGGCCTGATGGGCACCAAGGATGGTACTTCTGAGACAGAGCGTGTCCTGTGGGGGTAAGTGTCCGTATATCCTTGTGCTTCCTGGCTTCCATTAACCTGGACCTGCCACTCCCATCCTTTCCCCTTTCTTCTCATGTTCTTCTCTTCCTGCTGCAGCCATCCTCCAGATCTGACCGCCTTATCTCGGCATGACCTGGAAGATAACCTGCTGAACTCTCTTGTCATCCTGGAGGTTCTCTCCCACCAGCTGCGGAATTGGAAGAGCCAGCTAACTGTCCCTCACCCAGAAGTTCAGGACAGTAGCACACAGACTGACACTTCTCCTAGCCGGGTAAGAAGGTTCCTCACAAAGTGTGGAGGAGCCAGTGGGGCCTCTTAGAATATGTATAAAAGCTGAGGACCCAGAAAATCACTTAAGATTATGGGTACTCACCATACCCCTGGAGAACATCAAGACTTCCCGAGAGAATGCAAGCAGGGGAGTTGTAAAGGAATCACTTTCTAGATCTTCATCTTCCAAGTGTATTTGTTCATTAATTTTTTTCTTTCCTACTTCTCCATTCTCAATTGCCCTTGCCTACTTTACTAAAGTGGAGCATATTTACTACCCATCCTGAATCTCAGTGGTCAAAGGATAGCAATCACAGGACAATAGAAAATATCTGTGTACATGCTGAGAAAGTGAATGACTGCCACGATTATATAACATCCCTGCATGCTTTCAATGAAATTGAAGGACATAAAAGGCAGTGGATCATTAAAATTTTATGATGAAAATTCGCAGTGAGATTTTTGGCATATATCTCCAAACAAACCCCTAGGAGGGGGTGACATGCCCGTCTCCCTTTCTTCTATTCAGACTTATTACCATTGTTCATTGAAGATTTCTCGGTGTTTATATCTGTAAGAATGGGAAATAGGCATAGAATTGTGCTGAGCCATGTCTTATTGTGAGACATATAGTAATCCACAGACACATGAACTGATGAGAGGGAAGCTCCATCCGTTTCATTAATAAATGATTCCTAATCAGATTCTGCTGTGTATGCTTATGATCTTATTAACAATTATAATATTATAGTGATTAGTATACAACTGATAGAAATATTTCTCCATCCAAAAGAAAGTTTTTTTACTTAAGGTCGTATGGTCAGAGGTATTTAAAAGAAATTTTAATTTAAATTTAGGTGATCTTTTTTTGTTGTTGCAGAGATAGTGATTAAAAAGTATAAAAATATATTACTTTAGGGAAAAATTCTGAGAGGAGTAAAAATTATAGGTTCAAGGAGAAAAAGGGATGATAAAAATTTCTGACTGTTAAAGAAGAGCTTGTACATGCATTTTTTAAAGGTATCAAATAGGTATTAAATCATTATGGTGTATGTAGTATTTATACCATTATATATACTTAAGAGTGATTTAAGTTTAATTTCAAACTGAGTACCATTAGGTTTAAATTGTTACAAAGGCTGTAATTAGTCTTTCAAAATTATTGTAGGAGACATGGAAGGGAAACAGTTTAAAGACAGAGGACTCTAGCTGTGACTACACAGGCCAAGCAAGGAAGTGATGGTTGTAGGGAAAGGAATTTAGAGCCTCAGTTTGTGGCTATTGAGGTAATAAGTGGCAGTTGCTAAGAAGAGATGGTCTCCAAATGCTCAAAGCCCTCCTTTGGATTGAAAACATCCTCAAAATAATGACTTGACTTTTTGCCAAAATCCTGGAAACCAGAGGCTTATCATTCTTCTAGCTGCTCAATTTCTTTTCTGTGTTTTCTTATTTTGGTATCCTCTCCTTTTGTCCTTGACCTCATTTGCCATCCCTGAGTTGGTCTTGTACCCTATCCCACTGAAGCTTGCCACATCCCTTTGGAGGCCACTGAAGCAGTGCCCTGTCCTTGCCGCTTGGCTGCCTCTTTCATGCTAATCGCGTCACCAGCCTGACTGCCCAGCTCTGAGCCCTGTGTGTGCTCTGAGCCTTACTGCAAGGTGCAGGAGGGAGTGATGACTGCTTTGCTGGGGAAAGGAGCGGTGAGCTCTGATAGATCTGTCTCCTTAAATCCGGACGGCTGCAGCGTCATGACACAGCACAGCTGCTCTAGCCATGGGTTTCTTCCCAGATGATGGCTGCCTTTCAGCAGTAATGAAGGCTCCCTCTTCTCTCCCAGAGGTTTAGAGTCTATGGCTCCATTGCTTTTGAGATCATATGTATCTACTCTGCATAGCACAGTAAGATTTTTGTCTGCCCCAAGATAATGAACAGAGAATAAGAACTTAAAAATGGCTGATAAATATTTGAGTTTAGCATTACTGATAATCAGGAACTTCAAATTGAAATAATAAAATACAATTTTCTTCTGACAAAATAGCCAAGGGTTGAAATAGATAATGTTGGTAAGCATCGTTCTGTTGTCAGTAGGACATAAATTGGTTCAAGGTTTTTTGATGGCAGTGTAAGACAGACCCTTCAAGCAGTTCAAAGTTTTGACCCAGTAATTTCAGTTCTAGGGAGATGTCCTAAGGGGGAAAAAATCTGCATTAAATGGTAACTTAAAAAAAATAATAATGAGAAAAATATAGTAAAAAATGGCACAACCATAACATGGGATATTTTGCAGTCAGTATGTTTATGAAGAGTTTTTAATAACATGGAAAAGTTTAACATAAGTTCATGTTTTTTAAAGAAAGGAAATCAGAGCTCAGATAACCTCTGAGAGGCTCTGAGGTGAGGTAAAATATCAGCACACGTTAAAAATGGGTGGTACTCCACTATGATAGGTCCCCTGAAGGCAGATATCCTAGTCTCTGGCTGTTCCAGTGAGGAGAGTGAATATAAATTCAGGGCTACATAACATTAATGAAATTGAGTAATAAAAGCAAGATCACAAATTTCTTATATACTGTAGTCTCAGTTGTGTGTGTGTTTTTTTTTTTAAACATTACTGTCTTTTATCAGATCTAAAGTACTGTCAACATTAAGATGCATCCCAATTTTGTGGTGGTAAAATGTAGAAAGATAATATCTTAGAATTTATTGAATATTGTGATTTCTTTCTAAATCAGTACTCCACAACTTTTTTCTCCCCTGACACCTGAGGGAAGTAATCTACCCATCATAGCAAGGAAATCTCTGGTGTGGAGGTACATTGTAATCTCTTGGGGTAGGTGTTGTACTGTTGGTTAAGAATCACTCCTCTAGGTGGTGAAATTATTAATAATTTTCCATTGTATTTACCTCTGTATTTCCAAATTTTTACCATAAAAACACATTATCCTTGTAATTTTTTTTTTTTAGTTTTTTTTAAAAGGAATTTTTTTTCCTTCCTTTTGATTTTTTTTACTTGGCTTCATCAAGCTATTAGCCTTGCTCCTGCTTTTAATAGAAAAGGCCCCTGAATTCTCATTGGGAGGGGGAATGAGGGGCTGGTGTTGCAAGTTGCATATGCAAAAGGAACAACTCTGTTTCTCTGGCTAGATAAGTAAGAAACCTCAGCATCTTCAGGAGAGCGAAGAGATTGGGCAGGCTCTGCAGCAGGCCAGGAATGTCATGGTAAGTGTTGATTGACCATCATTGGTCTCCTGTGCAGACTAAGGAGACTCCTGCATGGTTAGCAGATGGTGGTACTCAGCCATGGTAGTCCAGGGAGGTTTCCAAAGCATCGTTAAGGACATCTCCTCCTTATTGGGAGCTTGAAATGGGGCTCGGTGGCTTTACTCCCCTGCTTGCTTCCTGCTTAGTGACTTTGATGTAGTCTAACCATCTTTCCCTCCACAGCAATCATGGGTGCTGGTCTCTAAAGAGCTGATCTCCTTGCTTCACCTATCTCTGTTGCACTTAGAGGAAGATAGAACTACTGTGCATCAGGAGGTAAGCAGCATGAAGATAAAGGCAGAGGCCTCTGGTGGGACTGAAAGCCAAAAAAAGGACCCAGACGTGGCACCTGTTGTTTATCTTGTAGTCTCGGCATGCAGAAACCTTGGTCTCCTGCTGTTTTGACATGTTGAAGAAACTGAAGGCAAGGCTCCAGAGCCTGAAAACGGAAAGGGAAGAAGCAAAGCAAAGAGAGGAAAGGGCCCTCAGAGGCAAGGATGCGGTAAGGTGTCAGGCTTTTTGGTCGTGGATGTGGGAGGTCTCTTCCTCAAGGTTCCTGCAGGAACACAAATTCACCTGAGACACAGATGGGGGCCTAACAACTGCCTGCCCTGGGGAATAACAGACCAAACTACTGGTGTGGTGGATAGTTAGGGCTTTTTGTGCTGTTTTCCCTTTGCCCACTATGTCCTTACAACCTCTTGCCTACAGGCAGAGACAGTGCTAGAGGCTTTCTGTGCACATGCAAGCCAGCGCATTAGCCAGCTGGAACAGGACCTGGCATCCACGGGGGAATTCAGAGGCCTTTTGAAGGAAACCCAGACCCAACTGGTAATTTTGAGGGCATTTCCTTTCCTGAGATCCATGCTGACACACTGGGAGGATGTTCTTACACTCCCACTTTGCTGTATTCAGAGGGAAGGGCCCCCATCCACTGGTAATCTTTCTTGTGTAGGTAGGGTTTCATACTGAGCAAGAAGAGTTGGCTCAGCATATAGCCAGTTTTATTTCAACCTTGCAACAGGACTGGATATCCGTGCAACTGGATGTGAGTATTTGGGGCCATCATACTACTCCTTTACTCATAGCCAGCCTGTAGGAGCCTTGCCTCAAGTATGCTCTGCTGATCTGCTTGCTTCCTCTGTAGTATATAACATGGACAACTTTGCTGAGCCAGTCTCGACAACTCACAGAGAAACTCACAGCCAAGAGCCGGCAGACCCTGCAGGAACGTGATGCTGCAATTGAGGAAAAGCAGCAGGTACAAACTAGGAGTATGGACCGCTTGGGCCTGGTTTTCTCCTTCACTACAGAAGGCCTTTCCAATGAGTGGTATTAGCCTCTTACCCTGAACCTGTCTTCTTTCTACCTTGTGGGTTTGGAGGCCAGCCAGGTCTCTTTGCTGTGAGATGGTTGGTTTTGGGCCCAGTTGTTTCCTTTGCCCTTCAGCACTTCCTTCAGCAGCTTTTCTCCTGTTCCTGCTTTTTCCTGAGTGTAAGCCTTATTTGCTGCAACTCTTCTTTTCCTGAGGATTAGCCTTATTTGCTGTCTTATCTGGAAAGAAAAGCTGGACTAAGTCCTTAGACTCTTGATTCAGGAGGAACTGTGGGAGGAAAATTATCTTTGCTTCTTAGCTTTCCAGGGAGTTGGAACAAGTCTCTACCCATTTAGAGGAATGCAAAAGCCAAAGAGAAAAACTAGAGTTGGAAAACAGTCGCCTAGCAACAGGTGCGTGTGCGTGTGTGTGTGTGTGTGTGTGCGCGCGCGTGTGCACGCGTGTGTACTACTCACACACTGCTAGCAGTTAGTCCTGCTAAGGCTTGGGGTGTGGCAGTAGTACAAGAAAATGCTCTAGAGCACTTGTTCTGGAATAGAAGTATTGAAGGTTTTGGCCTGGTGACCACATGGTGTCATTAGAATACTTTTGGTCTAGATCTCCGGGCTCAGCTGGAGATTTGGGCCAGCATGGAGAGTCAGCTAAAAGAGCTACAGAGTCAGCATGCCCAGTGTACCCAGGACCTGGCCACAAGGGAGGAGTTGCTCTGCCAGCTTACCGAGGACAATAAGGAGCAGGCTGTTCAGTGAGTTCCTGTGAAGTTATTGTGTGTTAGGCACCTAGGATATAGGACTGATGGGCCCTAACATAAGATCTCTGGCAGATGGCAGAAGAAGGAGGTGGCACTGAAGCACATGCAGGCAGAGCTGCAGCAACAGCAGGCCGTCCTGGCCAAGGAGGTGCAAGACCTGAAGGAGACCCTGGAGGTAAGGATATGGCTTGGGTCAGGAGAGCTGGTAGGAGTGTGACTCTTACCTCATGGTATTGAGGTGACATTTTAAACTGGACTAGAAAAAGCCTCTGTTCCCAGGACTCTAAAATCTGTTTAGACTCATTTCCCACCCCCTCCCTCTCTTGCTCTTTCTCTCCTTCGCCTGTTTCCCCAGTTTGCAGACCAAGAGAATCAGGTTGCTCACCTGGAGCTGGGCCAGGTTGAGTGTCAGTTGAAAATGACGCTGGAAGTGCTCCGGGAGCGCAGCCTGCAGTGTGAGGACCTCAAGGACACTGTGGAGAACCTGAAGTAAGATCTCTGCCTTTCTATGCTTCCCCACTTAAGTGATTGTCTTTCCCAGAAACTCTTCGACAGGCTGAAGTCTCCAAGAAGGGAATTGTGATAGGATCCAAGAGCCCCTGTCTCCCTCTTTGAATGCAGCTCTGGGTGGGGATTTGAGAGGTATTCAGAGAAGGCTGCCAGGTCTTTGGTTGTTTTCCCTGTTCCCTCCTTACTTCAGGGCTAAACTGGCTAGTACTATAGCAGAGAACCAGGAGCAAGAACTGGAGAAGACTCAGCAGTATTCCCAAGAACTGGGGGTGCTGGCTGAGCGACTACAGAGCCTGACCCTCTTACTCCAGACAAAACTAAAGGAGAAGGTAGGATCTGGGGGTTCCTTCTCTTCCCTTCCAACTGTATCTTCCAACAGATGGTTTTATTTCTTCTTCCCAAGCTGTACCTTTTATTTCCTTTTCTTGTCTGTTTGCATCAGCTAGAACATTGGAAAGGAGTGGTGAGAGGGGACATACTTGTCTTATACCTGATCTTAGAAGGAAAGCCTCAAGTCTCTCACCATTAAATGATGTTAGCTGTAGGTTTTTTGAAGATTTTTTTTATCAAGTTGAGGCAGTTACCATCTATTCTTAGTTTACTGAGATTTTTTCCAATTGTATCTTTACTCTATAGAACGATCTTCCTAAAATGCTACTCTTATTTTATCTCTATGACTTTCAATGACCTTCAGTTGTACAGGACCTCTTTAGCCTGTCACTCAAACTTTTCTTCATCTGTCTCCTGCCTGTCTATGATGAATCCTGTACTCCGGTTAGGTTGCTTGTACACTACATACATGTCCCATCACCATTCCCACCTAGACTCAGGCTTACTACATCCATTCTCCTCTGTCTCCAAACTGGAAATATCTTTTCTTTTCCTATTGAAATCTCCCCTAGTTCACCTTCTTCTTTGAAATGTTCCCATATCACATAGACTAAACGATCTCCTGCTGTATTCTTCATGAACTTAATAATTTTCTTTTTGTACTTTTTTGTACTTCTGTTCATTCTCCCTGGATGTCTGGTCTCTTCAACTAGAATGTGTTTAAAGAAAGCAGAAATTTAGCCTTGCTTCTTTGGCTTCCTCACAGTTCACACTAAGCAATAAATGGTCGATATCTTTCAGAATTGAGTTAATTCGCTCATTCCCCAGGATCATGAAATCTGGAAGTGCTTATGATCTGACCCTCTTCCCCAGTATGTGCTGAGCACAGGAAATGTGAAAGAATCCACAGTCTGACAGGGAAGACAGAAGGAAGACAGTATATAAATGAATGGGTGTGGCTGTATTCCAATAAAACTTTATTTACAAAAACAAGAGGCAGGTCAGATTTGAATTGCAGGCTGTAATTTGCTGGTATACTTCTCATCTTGAATTGTGATCATGATAGAGGTCTGCATGGATGTCTACTGTGGGAGCTCAGAGAAAGAAACAGCAGTTCTTCCTTTGAGAGTTATGGCTCAGTCAGGTGACCTTTGGGCAGAATCCTGAGGTTTAAAAGGTTGTAGGGCAGGGGCGGGAATATAGGAAGGCCTACCGGATAGAAGGAACAGTATATGAAGGTCATAGAGGCACTATGTGTGTTTTTTGTTTTTTCTACCTTATCCTAGACCTGAGTTAGGTGCTGGGACTATAGTGAACAAGACAAAGCCCTGCTTATATGGACTGTGGCAAGTTTGGGGACCAGGAAGTAGCTCTTTATAACTGGAGTGTAGAGGCTATATGGGACAAGGATGACACGGAGACAGGCTGGAGAAGTAGGCAAGAGGCCAGACTCGAAGGCTTGAACTGCTGGCACTTACAGAAGGGGTAGAGAGTGGAGATGGATGGGAAGAATTCAATGCATATTTAGGAAGTAGAATAGAACCTGATGACCAGTATGATGTCAGAGTAAATAGAAGAGTGAATGCTGATCTCTAGATGGTTGGAAAGATGCACACTCTAGAACTCAGGTTGGCAAACTTTTCCTAAAAATTCAATATAATACATATTTTTGGCTTTTTGAGCTATGTGGTCTCTGTTTCAACTATTTCTGCCTTTGTAGCTAAAGAGCAGCCACAGACATATAAATGAATGGGTGTGGCTGTGTTCTAATAAAACTTTATTTACAGAAACAAGAGGCAGGCCAGATTTAAACTGCAGGCTATAATCTGCTGTTCACCCCTCCGCTCTAAGATCTTAAATATAGGACAAGGAACAGAGTTTTGGTAGGGTGGGACGGGAAAATGGTGAGCTGAGCTTTAGACGTACTAAGTTTCAGGTGCATTCTGGTACTAAATTATGGAGCATTCTGATAGATTTTTCACAGGTAGTTGAGCCTTTGGGTCTGGAGATTGGGAAAAAGTCCAGTTGAAGAGATTGAAGGGTCATCTGTATAGAAGTGGATGTGTTTGTGGAGCTCCTGAAGCGAGGCCACCTGGGGAATGGATCCAGGTATAAAGAGGGCCAAGGATGAACCAAAAAGGAGTCTAGAGGTTAAGGAAGGGTCTGTGGATAAAGAGAAGAAATAACTAGAAAGGCAAGAGGCCTATACTTATGAGGGGAGAAAGAGTCATGTCCCAGAAGCTAAGAAAAGGAAGTTTCTAAAAGAAAAACATGGTCATCAATGATCAAATCAGGTAAAATCAGGTCAGGTAAAATAAGAATTGAGAAGTGTCCATTGCATTTGAAAGTAAAGATGCCATTGGTGAACCAAATCATGATAATTTTGGTGGAATGTGGGGCTAGAAGCCTGAGTATAGTGGGCGAGGGAGTCAATACATGGTGAGAATTTTAGGCAAGAAATATAGGCTTTTCTTTTTTTTTTAATTGAAGGGAAAGAGAAAAGGTAGTAGCTAAAAAAGGATTTAAGATAAGGTTTGTTTGCTTTTTTTAAATTGTTGTTTTAGTAAGAGAGAATTAAGTTCAGGTAAAGGAGCTGATGGAGAATTTGAAGGTAGAGAAGAGAGGTAATAGAAGAGCATTCTGGAGGAGATGGCTGGTGAGTACCTGGTCATTAAGGGAAATCACTAACCCTGTAAAGCAGCTGATATTTTATTTCTCCTTTGCCCTTAGGCTGAACCAGAGACCCTGCTCAGAAGCACAGCCTGTGCTCCTGCTCAGAAACACCCTCTGCCCACCAGCGGTGCCCTCTTGGGAAGCATCTTAACAACAATGGCAGATGAAGGTTAAATGCCCTGGAATTTAGGGGTGGGAAAGTTGTGACCCTGCTCCTGTTATCTTCAGCTGCTGAAGATGCCCACCAACAGACCTCTATCTCCCTGGCTTCCATTATGGCAGACCTTTGACTGGGCCACCAGAGGCCCTCTTCCATGTTGGTTTTTGTTTTAGAGCCGGAATCAGCTCCTGTGCCCTTGCTTGGAAGTGACAAGAGTGCTTTCACCCGAGTAGCATCAATGGTTTCCCTTCAGCCTACAGGTTAGGATGGGCTCCAGGGATCCTGCCTCATTTCCAGATCTGGTAGTAATGATAAAGACTAAAGCAGTGAGAAGTGCTTTGCCCTAAAAACCTCAATTACTTGGGCTCATTTTACTTTAGCCTTTTGGGATCTGTACTGTTCTGCACATTAAATCCCATGGGTGGGGAACATGGATAAAAGTTATGGAAATGATGGCTATGCACTCCTTCCAGAGCTAATGGACTCTGCTTTTATCTAGGACTTTCTCTTTCAGAGACCCAGGGCATGGAGAGGAGCCTGGCAGAGATGAGCACAGTGACTCTGGAGCTTCAGAGCCTGTGTTCCCTCCTGCAGGAGTCTAAAGAAGAAGCCATCAGGACTCTGCAGCAAGAGATGTGAGTGGAGTTCATTCTTGGTGAGAGAGGGCAGGTCATGTGAGACAGGCCCTGAGGGAGCAGGAATAATGCCAGATTCTTCCCTTGCCTAGTTGTTATCTGCAGGCTAGGCTGCAGGCCCAGGAAAAACAGCATCAGGAAGCCCAAAAGGCAAAGGAAGTGGACATAGAGAAGCTGAACCAGGCATTGTGCTTGCGCTACAAGGTGAAGGAGGGGCCTAGAAAGGGGGGTGATGAAGAACTGGGGCAGTTCTACTGGCCCACTGGGTGCCACTCTGTCCAAGAATCTGGGTGGTAGAGATTTTCCAACTACTGTCCTAGTTTTGCCCTTCCTGGGGTCTGACATTTCACATGTTTGGGAAACAGCTCTGGGCTTACCCATCTCCCAGGCTGACCTAGAAGTCAGGAACTCCAGCAGAACTCTGTCAACATTGAAATGTGCCTGATCTGACATAGCCCTAGAGGAAGAATTGGAGTGTTATAAGTTGGTATTGCTTGGGCTGAGCGTTAGTTAGAAACTAAATCCTATCTTCTGGCATGGACTGCAAAGAAGCCAGCTGTTGCAGTGCCTTCTTCCCTTTCTCTCACAGAATGAAAAGGAGCTCCAGGAAGTGATACAGCAACAGAACGAGAAGATCCTAGAGCAGATAGACAAGAGCGGCGAGCTCATAGTACGTTTGTCATGATGCCTGGCCCTCGGCCTCCTGTGTCTCTGGTAGCAGGATCCCACATTTGGGAATTAGACCGCCTGGTCTACCCTTATTCACCACATGGGTAAGGAGAGAAGGGACCTTTGAGGGCTACTGGATACCTCTCCATTCTCATCCCCAGAGCCTTAGAGAGGAGGTAACCCAGCTCACCCGCTCACTTCGGCGTGCAGAGACAGAGACGAAGGTGCTCCAAGAGACCTTGGCTGGCCAGCTGAACCCCGACTGTCAGCCCATGGCCACTAACTGGATCCAGGAGAAAGTGTGGCTCTCCCAGGAGGTGACTCGGAGTCAACAGAGGAGCCGGGCAGGTGGTGGGAACTCTAGACTGTGCCCCTACTGATCTGGACATATCTATAGGTGGACAAGCTGAGGGTGATGTTCCTAGAGATGAAAAATGAGAAGGCAAAGCTCATGGCCAAGTTCCAGAGCCATGTAAGATTTCCCATGCTGTTCCAGGCCACTTCCCACCACCACTAGCAAGTGTCCTGCCATGCTTTTTCTTTGCCCCACAAGCTGTGCTGTTCTTTTAAACATAGGACTTGTGCAACCTATTTACTTTGTAGAGAAACATCTTGGAGGAGAATCTTCGGCGCTCTGACAAGGAGTTAAAGAAACTAGATGACATTGTCCAGCATATATATGAGGTAAAGGAGGGAGGGAACTGATGCAGCCAAGGCTCCTGGTACAAGGCCTGGGCCCCGGAGGCTCTGCTGGGCACCGCTCTGGTTCCCAGCCTGTGTTGAGCGCTGGGCCTCTCTTGCAGGCTTCTCTGTGACTTCTGTTTTCTCCCCCCTAACTCAGTGGGTGCTTGCTGGGACTGGAAGCCTTGGCCCACGGGCCTGTGGCCTTGAGCTGCCTTTTTGCCTCTCTTCCCAGACTCTGCTGTCCATCCCAGAGGTTGTGAGGGGTTGCAAGGAGCTACAGGGATTGCTGGAATTTCTGAGCTAAGAAACTGCAAGGTGGAATCCGATTCACCCTTTTACCTGAAGTACTCCCTTATGCCAACACAAGGACCAATTGGCATAGAGCCAGCTATATTTAATGTTATTTAAATAAAGTCTATTTAATGATTTCTTTAAACTCATGTAATCTTATTTCTTGGGGCGGAGGTTGGGGGAGAGTGGTACATGAAGTCAGGGAAGAGGCAGCTTGGCCTTCCTGCCTGGGCAGCCTCCACACACCCCACTGCTCCCACAGCCAAAGCTGGCTGGCTGCCCCTCCTCCCTTCTCTTCCCCAAATGCTCTGGGCACTGGACTGCTTGTTCCCTGGCTCACTGCCTGCGGGGAACGGACAAGACTTCATTCACTTACCTACTCCATCCCCCCGCTGAGTAGGCCCTGGTGACTAGGGGTGAAGACAGAAACTCAGTCCCTTATTCTGTCCTGGACTCCTGCAGTTTGCTGGTGCCTCTGTCTCACCTACCTGACCTGTTGAGACTGTTCAAGTGACCCCTTCACCAGACTAAGCTTAATCCCCAATATCCAAAACACTGCCTGGCACACGATAAAGGCTACTGTGGCAGAAATGAGGGCAAGGCCATTTCCTGCGGGCCCTGGGGCCAAGGCTCCGCGAGGTGGGAGGGGGCGGTACGCAGCCTCGGAGATGCTGGCCGTAGTCACTCCACTTTGCAGCCCCGCCTCTGCGGGAGCTTCCCTGCGTCGGCACCAGTCCGGGGGCGGGGGCGGGGCGGCTCTGGCCCCGCCCCCCGGGGAGTCACGTAGCTCTGCGGCATCCGCAGCCTCATTTACAGCGGCCCTGACTGGAGCCGCAGCTGCTGTGCACCTGAACGGAGCAGCTCTACCAGTGGCTGCGGCAGCTAATTCGTTGCGCACTCGCTGCACGCAGGTGAGTCTGGGGCGACGCGGGAGCCACTCAGCCTCTGCTTCCTCTCTGACTCTGCCTCCTCCCATCCTTGCCGTGCTCCCAGGGGAGCCCCTGCATGTGCCTTTTCAGCTCTCTCCTTAAATTCTTCCTGTCTACTGGAAACCTACTGGTTCGGCCTCTCCCACAACGTCCCTTCCTTTTAGCTCTAACGCCCGGACCTCAAGTTTTTCCAATCCCAAATCTTCCTTTGCCTACAGGGACTTTTCCTTGGGGTCAGCCTCTCCCACTCAGACCGTTTTAATCTCAGCCTGCTCCCTCTCCTAGGCTGTTCTCTTGCCTTCTCTGTCCACAGGTCTAGGTCTTTACCCCTGACTAGTTAACCTGTCTCAACATCACCTTCCCACGAGTCTCCTCCCCTGTCCTCCTGCATCTCTCCCTCCCTCTCTCAGCCTCTCCACTCATTTCTGATTCTTGGCTCCCATCTCCTGACTGCACAGGTCGTCAGGTTTGGGGTAGGGAAGACTGTGGCAGTTATTTGTGCCACTCTTACCCCTTACCTGCTCCCCTCTCCCAGCCTTCTCCAGAAGCCAAGGGAAGACGGGTGATGGGTATCTGTCTCATTCTGAAATCTTGGGAGTAAGTGCACTTTCCCTAGGGGTCCTGCTGGGGATAAGAAGAGGGAAGTTGAAAGGCCAGGACTTGTGCCTACCTGAAGAAGGGGCCACATTCAGCAGAAGAAGGGCCTGCATCTTCGTTTGGGCAATAGTTTCATAAGAAGACCTGTAGCTTCACGGCTGCTCACCTCCCCACCCCCCACCCTGCATCTTACTCCGGGGCTGGGAAGGGTGCCCACCAGGGACAAAAGGAGATGTGAGAACAGAGGCCCTAAGTCTCCTAGTTGTCAGAGGGATTGGTGCCACTTTGATGTCCAGGCTGCCTGCCAAGGACTGCTTCCCTGTTCCCAGCCAGCTCTGTGCTTGTTGGGGGCGGGGGTGGGTGGGTGCCATTGGCCCATATGGCCAGGAGAGAAAGCAGTGAAGGTACTGGATGGGGTCCAGCTTTTATATCTTGTCTCTATTCCACAGAGCTATCACCATGCCCCACTTGTATCCAGCCCTTTCTGCGGAGCAGAAAAAGGATTTGTCTGACATTGCCCTCCGGATTGTGGCCCCCGGCAAAGGCATTCTGGCTGCAGATGAGTCTGTAGGTAGGTGGGGGCCTGTGGCCAGGTTGGGTAGAGGTGGCCAGGAAGCCCTGGGGATGACCTTGTCATCCCTCTGTTTGCCCCCAGGCAGCATGGCCAAACGGCTGAGCCAAATCGGGGTGGAGAACACAGAAGAGAACCGCCGATTGTACCGCCAGGTCCTGTTCAGTGCTGATGACCGTGTAAAAAAGTGCATTGGCGGTGTCATCTTCTTCCACGAGACACTCTATCAGAAAGATGATAGTGGGGTCCCCTTCGTCCATACCATCCAGGATAAGGGCATTGTCGTGGGCATCAAGGTGCAGCCACTGGCCATGGATGGGGGCTGAGCATGGAAATAGTTGTGTGTGTGTGTGTGTGTGTGTGTGTTTATTTGTTGGGGAGCATGGCATGAGTAATCCTTCCTGGGTTCAGCCCTCTACCTATGTTTCCCCTACAGGTTGACAAGGGTGTAGTGCCGCTAGCTGGCACTGATGGAGAAACCACCACTCAAGGTACGGGATGGGTGGGCTTCAGGAGCACAGGGCTTTTGGGTGGTTGATGCTGGTGAAGAGGGGCAGGATGATGAGGCCGGCTCTATGCCTGCAGGGCTGGATGGGCTTTCGGAACGCTGTGCCCAGTATAAGAAGGATGGTGCCGACTTTGCCAAGTGGCGCTGTGTACTAAAAATCAGTGAGCGCACACCCTCAGCACTTGCCATTCTGGAGAATGCCAATGTGCTGGCCCGTTATGCTAGCATCTGCCAGCAGGTATGTGCATGTGTATGTGGGGGAGTCAGGTGGGTACCCTGGGCCTGGTTGGGGAGAGGGGTACAGGGCTTTCTCACATCCAACCTACTGCCCCACCCAAGCTCCTCTGCTTTTACCTGCAGAATGGTATTGTGCCTATTGTGGAACCTGAGATCCTGCCTGATGGAGACCATGACCTCAAACGTTGCCAGTATGTTACAGAGAAGGTGAGTCCTTGCCTGAACACAGATACATAACACAGGGACATCCTGACAGGGGAGCCTGTTCCCTTTGTCCCTGGGTCAGATGCCAGCACTGTCCCCAGGCCCTCTTTCACTGGATCCCAGAGCGACGTGTGAGCCTGAGCCTATGCTGCCCTCACAGTCAAACCTACCTACCCCAGATAAGGAGCAGGGAGCAGTAAGTGGCAGGGAACCAGAACCTTAGTAAGCACCCCCTGATGCCCAGGTCTTGGCTGCTGTGTATAAGGCCCTGAGTGACCATCACGTGTACCTGGAGGGGACTCTGCTCAAGCCCAACATGGTGACCCCTGGCCATGCCTGTCCCATTAAGTATAGCCCAGAGGAAATCGCCATGGCAACTGTTACAGCTTTGCGTCGCACTGTGCCTCCAGCTGTCCCAGGTACCCCCCTTCTTCCTAACCTTCTATCCCTAAAACACCTCCTTGGGTTCTTCTTGTGGCTTTCAGGGGTCCCTTACCCTAGAAAAATAGGAAGTGACCAATCAGTTTGTCTTCTCTTCTCCTCTCTAGGAGTGACCTTCCTTTCTGGGGGCCAGAGTGAGGAGGAGGCATCACTCAACCTCAATGCTATCAACCGCTGCCCCCTTCCCCGGCCCTGGGCCCTCACCTTCTCCTATGGGCGTGCCCTGCAGGCCTCTGCACTCAGTGCCTGGCGAGGGCAACGGGACAATGCTGGAGCTGCCACTGAGGAGTTCATCAAGCGGGCTGAGGTTGGAAGCTAGAGGTGGAGGTTGTGGCAGGGATCTGTAGCTGGGCAGGGGACAGCTCCCAGAGGCTTAGCCTAGGCGGGGTTTGGCACCTGTGGGTTGGTGGGCTGGGTCAGCCTGCTTACCCACTCCTCCTTTTTTGTAGGTGAATGGGCTTGCAGCCCAGGGCAAGTATGAAGGCAGTGGAGACGATGGTGGAGCGGCAGCACAGTCCCTCTACATTGCCAACCATGCCTACTGAGTACCCACTCCACACTACAGCCATTGGCATGGCCATCTGCACCCAATTTTGCCCGTAGTTATGGCCAGGGCCACATAGCCACGCAGAGCAGAGGTGCCTCCATCCAGCACTCTGTCATCTTCCTTCTTTCTCTTCCTCCCCACCTCCCATTGCACAACTGGGACCACTGGGTGGGAAGACAGGGAGTCCCTCATGACCAATGGCAGGAGAACATGGTAGAAATCAGAGCAGGATGCCTGGTCTCCCCACTGCCTCTGCCAGTTCCCTACAATTTCCCCATGATGAGGTACTTTTCCTTGGTCTTTCCTTGCCTGCACTGTCTCCTGGTATCAGAGGGTAGGACACCAGACCTGACTCATGCCTTGGGTGCATACCACATAGAAAATAAATGGTAGCAAAACATGCTACTTTGTCTGTTTTACACATCAAATTCCTACTTCCCAGTTTCTGAGCTCTACTGACTGTGTCTCTCTGGACCCTCTGACTGGTTGTGGAGAGGGTGGGTTTTGAGTTTTACTGGGCTTTAAGTTTATGGGGGAAGGGCACACCCCATCACCACAGCCAGTCACCAAGTTAGGCTCTTGCCTATTGATGTCCAAGGCTGGAGCACGGCAGTGCGGAGGGCTGCAAGTCTCAGGGATGGCCACATCAGAAGCACTAGGCTGCAGCTGCAGGAGGATAGAATGAGGCAAGACTGGCACAACTCCCAAAGGTAGCTTTTGCCCAAGGCCCAAAACTGGGATAACAGGGCATGGGAAGGGAGTCTGTCACTTCTCAGCTGTGTTGAGCCCTGCTGGGCTTGACACATTCTGCTAGGGGGAACCACTGCCTGAGGAAAAACCCCACGGCTAGGGATTGCCACCCAGCAGGGGCTCTTGGAGGTTGACAAGGGCTATTGCCCACTCCCATTTGGAGTAGGTGGGGGCACAGAGGGAGCCAATTTAAGGATCTGGCCAAGGGTGGACCTGGTGAGGTCTCATGCTGAACTTTGACCACTTGGCTGGGGTGTGGTGGGTAGGCTGATCAGTTGGGTCTATCTGAGCAGATAAAAAGATGAGAGAACCTACTGGGTGTGTTATGTGTGAACCTGGAGAGGCCACTCTGTGTGAAGTGCACAACTAATGCTCCACCACTAATTATTGCAAGGTGGGAATGTAGGCCCAGTGTGTCCTGATCTTATATTAACAAAAATAGCCAACGCATACATAGATAGCACTTTCTATGTGTTCCTGCCAGGCCCTATCCTAATTGCTACGTTTATTAACTCATTTACTGCAACAACTATGTTTAGTAGAAATTATTACTATCCCTATTTTAATATGAAAAAATTGGCACAGAGAGGCTACTTAACATCTCAGGATCACTGAAGTGAAGTGATGAAGCCAGGATCAGGGGCCAGAGTTTTCAAGAAATTATTAAGTGAATTATTCACTTTTATAAAGTTGGAAATTAATTGGATTTATACCGAATGAGCCGAATACGCTAAACATGTACTACTAGCTTGCCATCTCTGTGTTTGAGGCCTGAGAAGAGGTGCCCTGAATAGGAACTCTATAATGGGAGTGATAAAACGACACGTTTGCGTGCTTTCCGGGTGCCAGGCTCTTTACGTGAATGGCCATAATTTCGTAAATATTTCCATTTTCCAGTTGAGAAAACTAAGCTTAGAGCTACCCGTGGTCACCCAGCTACTATTTAACAACTGCAAAGTTTGCGCTCTTACTCTCTGAAGCTAGGAATGTGTTCTACAAGGAAGCAGGGGCCTATCAAGTGCCTTCCAGCGACGCAGAAATCCCTAAATGCCTCCATCCCTCCTTGGCGCCCGAGTCATCTTTTAAAACTCGCAGAGGCTCCTTGGGGACCCCGCCCGGGGACCCCGCCCCCTCCCGTCCCTCACCAACTTTCCCCGCCTGCGCAGCTGGAGTGCAGCTCGCGATTGGATGCAATCTCTACCATGGTCCCGCCCTCCTCAGTGCGGTTTCCGATTGGGGGAGGCAGACGCAGCCCCTCCCCTCGGTGGCTAGAGCTGCCGGGAGCAAGCATGGCGGCTGTCGGGGCCGCTGCTACCGATCTAGGTGGGATGGCGTTCGGGCGAGGCCTGCAGCTGGCGGGGTGCGGATGGCGAGGGAGGAATGCAAGGGTGGGCACTGTGGAGTGCGAGAGGTCCCGCGAACTGGGGTCGCTTCATACAGGATCCCTTCATACTTGGGCTCAGGCCCCTCGCACGGGGATCCCTGTTGTATGGGCTTCTTCGCGTCGGGCGTAGGACTGGCACCCTCGCCCACTTCTAGCGTCTTAGTCCGTGCCCCCGTGCCTCCAGAGGTGGTGCGAGGCAAGCGCGCAGCCCTCTTCTTCGCGGCGGTGGCTATCGTGCTCGGATTGCCGCTCTGGTGGAAGACTACGGAGACCTACCGGGCCCCGTTGCCTTACTCCCAGATCAGTGGGCTGAACGCCCTGCAGGTGAGACCTCGGTGGGGGAGCGCCAGGGGACAGCCACCGGCAAGGTGGAGACCTCAGCTGATGGCCCTGATGCTCCTTCCCGCAGCTTCGGCTCATGGTGCCCGTCACTGTCGTGTTTACCCGGGAGTCAGTGCCATTGGACGACCAGGAGAAGCTGCCCTTCATTGTTGTGCATGAGAGAGAGATACCTCTGAAATGTGAGTTTCTTAGGTCGTCAGGGCTGCCTTTCTGGTTTGAGTTCAGAGATGGGTTGGGTAGGAAGAGCCTGAGTGTCCCGTAAAGATAGTTAAAAATTTAACAGGCCTTTCTGAATGAACATGTGTTTGGTTAGAAGAAAAACAACTTAAATTCAGTGTTAACCAGTAAGGCCACAGATTTACTCAAAAAAAACAAGTTATACCACCTGATCAGAAGCAGCTGATGCTCACTAGGGAATAGAGGGGGTTGTGGGATGTAGTGGAAAGAACACAGGGTTTGGAATCAAGTTGGACTTATATACAGGCCATTTTCAGCTTAACAGTGAACACTTTATTGCGTCTTAGGCACTTTTCTTAGGTATCAGGAATTCGGGGTTAGTAAGAAATTGATAATGATTTTAAGAAATTCATGGTCAGTAGGGGAGAAAGACTTAAATCACAGTAGAAGTATGTAAGAAACTGAGACTGCACTTAAGTAAGAACTTCTGTCTGGAAGAAAGGAAAGAAAGGCAGGGAGGGTTTTGAGGAATGAATTTTTAAGCTGGACTTTTAAGGATGTGTTCAGGTTAAATGGGAAGGGGAGGGAGGCAATAGCATGAGCCAGTTGATAGGTAATATTAGTTGTTCACCAGATGCCAGAAACCAGGTGAAGCACTTTAAAAATGTGTTGCCTCATTTAATCCTATCTAATATCATGATCCCTATTTTATGAATCAACAGATTTAGAGATTTTAATTTGTCCAAGATCACACAGCTAGCAAGTAAGTTGTGGAACTGGGATTTAAACCAGGTGTGATTGATTACAATGTTCAAACTTTTCGTCAGCAATCTATTCTGCTTCCTATGTAAAAGCATGGAAGGGTGAATCAGCATGCTGAGAGACCTATGAGCAGTCTGACCTTGCTCGAGTGTGACATGAAAGATTGGGAGTGACTGGAGATGTAGGCTCAGTCCCAACCATGAAGTGCCTGCGTGCCGTGTATTTTCTAGCTCTTTAACCTTGGTCACACATTTTTTGAAATGTTTTTACTAAAACAAAAATTGGATCATGTATCACATGTTAGTTTGCAACTGATTATTGTCAATTTGTCATGGACTTCTTCATAGTGACATAGACAGTAGTGTGGATATACTGTAGAAGTAGCCAAGAATATGAAATCTGGATTTAGGAGAGCTGGATTAAAGCCTGTGTTCTTCTGTGAATTTGGATGAGATTGTTAACCTCTCTAAACCTTAGTTTTCTCATCTGTTAAATAGGAAGAGTAATAGGGTTGTTTATTTATTCAACAAATATTTTTTGAGTACCAATATCCGATACTGATGTGTTGCTAGAGATACAGCAGTGAACAAAACAGACAAAAAAAGAGGAGGCCGGATAATTAACAAGAAACAAGCAAAATGTATGTAAGATGGTGATAGGAAAAAACAGAGCAGGGATGGGGTATAGGAAGGTTTTCTTGTCATTGCCATTTTTGGGGTAGCCAGAGAGGGCGTCATTTGAAAAGAGGACATTTGAAGAAAGACCTAAAGGAGGTGCAGGAGTAAATTGTGTAGATATCTGGGAGAAGAACATTTTTTGCAGAGGAAAAAGCAAGTACATGTGAGGTCCTATGTTAGGATCAGGGGTAGTACCTCTGCAGAACAGTAGGACTCACATTGTGACTAATGAGGTGAATGAGGAAGAGAGTAAGAGAAAATGAAATAAAATCAGAGGGGTCAAAGGGGGCCACACTCACATACAGCTTTTATTCTGGATGAGAAGGGAAGGAACCAAAGGGTTTTCTATTCTTTAAACATAACTACCATTATAACACCTAACCAAGTTAGCAATGATTCCTTCCTATCACCTGATTTCTACTGTATTATCAGGATCAACACCCTGCATTTTGTCAAGTCTCTTTTGTTTCTCATTATATGTCAGCTCCCCCATCCCATCCTGATACCCCTTTCTGCATTGATTTGTTGGGTAAACCAGGTAATTTGTTTTACAGAACTTCTCAATTCTGGATTTGGCAGATTGCATTACTTCATGTAACTTAGTCCTGTTATCCATAGTTCTTATAAACTGATCTAGAGGTTTGATTAAAATCAACTTCAGTTTTTTAGGCAGAAATGTAGTAGGTGTACTTCTTGTGTTACATCATGAAGCATGTGATGGCTGGTTGTTTCACTTTGGTAATAGATACACAGATGATTTAGTGAGTTAGGTATTGTTAGCTTGATTTCCTTGTCAACCTTTCACTTGATGGTTTTAGTATCCATTGATGCTGGAAATAGCAGTTGCAAAATGGCGATTTTTCAATTCTGTCATTTCTTCTGCATATATGACCTGGAATTCTTCCTTAAAGAAGAACTTTCCCAATAAATTTTAGATTCAACTTCTCAAGTTCCAGGAGGCGAAAAAAATTCCTTTGGGATTGCCTTATATGTATAGATTAACTTGGAGAGAATTGACACCCTTAGAATAGTCTTTGCAACTAGGATCACTGTCTGCATTTTCCATTTTATCAGATGTTTTTTTAAGTCCTTCAGCAAATTTTTTTTTCCTGTAGATTTATACATTTATTCCTGGGATTGGGGATTTTTAAAAATGCTTACTTATCTAATTGGATATTGCTGGTATTAGAAAGCTATTGATTCTTTTTATTCTTATATTTGCTCATCTTACTGAACTGTTGACTAGTTCTAATAATTTTTCAGTTCTCTTGGATTTTCTTGGACAATAATTATGCTACATCAAAAAGTGG